AAGTCATATACACCTAGGATGCCTTGGGGGTGAGTAAAACGCAGCCTAATTTTCATTTTTGGGTGAACTAACCCTTTAATCCGCATACAAACAAATTACAATGTGCTAAGAAAAATTTTTGATTTGTTAAACGTTGATTCATGGACACCACTGTTCAGAAGTGTTGTTTATATATATATATATATATGTTATAATGCAATAAATTGATCAAAAATGACAGTAAAGACATTTATAATGTTAAAAACATTTCTATTTTAAATAAATGCAAATGCAAAATTGTATTAGTTTCAACAAAAATATCAAGTATAATAGTTTTTAACATTGATAATAATAATAACAGGATTAAATTATATTCTAAAATATTAAAATAAAATACAGCTATTAACATTGCTGTTTTATTGTATTTTCAATATTGTATTGTATTTTCAATGCTGCCTTGAGCATTTGACTTCTTTCAAAAACATTAATAAAATCTTACTGACCCTAAACTTTTGAACAGTAGTGTATAAATTGCAATATCATACTAAATTAATATACAAAATGTCTCAATATTTGGTTTCTAATCACCTAAACTGTTATTTTGGTAACACTTTAGAATAGGGAACACATATTCACTTTTAATTAAGAGTTTTCCCTCAATAAACTCCTAATTTGCTTGTTTTTAATAGTTAGTAAGATAGTTGATAAATTTAGGAATGGGGTCGGATTAAGGGATCTAAAATATGATCATGCAGAATAAGGCATTAATATTTGCTTTATGAGTACTAATAAATGGTCAGTATGCTAGTAATATGCATGATAATAACAGCTAGTTAATAGTGAGAATTGGTCCTTAAAATAAAGTGTTGACATTATTTTCGTCAATTAAAACTGACATCCAAGTAAAACGGACTAAAATATTTGAACATGTCACTATAAAATATTTACCATATTTAAAAAAAAAAAAAAAAGATTTATTTTGTGAAAAAAAACCCCAACTTTTTATCCAACAAACTTTGGACCCCATTGACTTTCATTGCATGGACAAAAATTAAGACTATCTTTTCTTTTTAATCTTCCTTTGTGTTGCACAGAAGAAAGAAAATCATACAGGTTTGGAACGATGTGAATCTGACTAGATGACAATTTTCATTTTTGGGTGAGCTATCTTTTAAGACTGTCTCTTACAACCTTCACAGTGCTTTGAATTCAAAGAGAACCTTAAATTAAAGAGGAAAAACTGGAAAAATGTGACTTAAAAGTCAAGATTAGTTAAAAAAAAGTTGCCAATCAGAGCTTTGCTCGGTTAACTAGTCTACCGTTAACTGATCAAGCTTTCTTGACAAAGAGAGAGCATGATGAGTTTTCGAGCAGAGCTCATTAAGGGGCAATGGGGCCGTTCATCTCCGGCTCTTAAGAGCACTCTGGTCTGTCGGGGCGCCAGTGTCCCTTTCTCACTCCTCCAGGCGCACATCAAAAAGTGGGGCAGACTCTCTCAGCTCTGTTCTGGCTGTCTGGGGCTTTGAAGTCCTTTGGTTATCAGCCAAGCGTGTCACGCTACCTGCAGCCATCTGTGAAGAGCCCACACTCGGGCTGGGCGGCCAAACCCCACAATGACTGTGTGTGTGTGGAGAGTTTTACCTGCAACACTGTTCAGTACATGGGGCATAAAACCTGAGAATGAGAGGGTGGGAAGTGACCATTTTGAAGAGACTTATTGGCAATATCTCTCTCTCTATTCTCCTGACTATATTACCTTCAAGAAATCCTTAAATAAGATGGAGAAAGACTGAGACATACTGTACATACAGTGAAGAAAAATGGTGTAAAAACAATTTTCACTCAGAAATTGTAAAGCGTACTCTAATAATCTGTTTTATTTACCACTATGAATTTTTTTTTATTATTAATTAAAATTTTATTTTAATAACGGTTTTTACATTTAAAAAATCTATCTATCTATCACCTACATTGTTAAAAGAAAGTACTATTGTTAGTAAATAGGAAAAAAAAAGAAAAAAGAACAAATATATATATATATACACAGTATATTAAAGTACTTAACAAGTAATTTTAAAAAGTGATTAAAACATTAAAATAAATTAAATCAAATAAACAGTTTGTATACAGGCAAATTTAGACTTCGCATTATTATTTACAGTGAAAATATTCCTTTTAAAACATTTTTACTTTATTAAAAAAAAGTAATTGTTTAGAAAGTCCTAGTAATAAGAGGAAAGATATATATCAAGCTGATCAGCAGATAAATAAATTAAAATAAAATGCAATAAAATAAAACATTCAACTCACTTTACAAATAACTGTCAGTGATTGAGTTTCCATGCATAAGAGTGGCCAATGATCTACACAAACAAATCCTAATAAATGAATAAAAGTAAATGCAACCAATGAAACATGGGCATCTTTATACTATTGTGTTCAGTTATGTTGGGTTCTAACTATGAGATATTTGTGGACAAAGCTAATCTGTCTGCCTCATCAAGTTTAGACTGTACATTACCCTGATAAAGCAGGCCAGGCCTTTTCATGCCAATTGGCCCAACTTATGGGGGTTTCTCAACAACAATAGGATTATATAGGGCATAGACAATGTGCTTTCAGCAGGAGAGGGGAGAGCATGCTGAAAGACCAATGAATGCATTGTATGCCAATTTAACCCCCGGTTTCATTGATGTATGCACATGCACAGTAACCCACATTACAGAAATCAGCACACGAGACCAAGTTTTATCTCCAAGTACACTAGAAAAAATTATTTCTCCAAAGATGTAAATAAAACAAAGATTATAGGAGTACAAAAGAGAATACCATTTCTGTTTTTCTGGTCATTCTGGCCCAGAGAGGATTTTCTCTTTCCAAAAAATGCAAGTTAACGTTATCACATTGGATCAAAACCTACTGAAGTTTGCTCACACTGGGTACAGTACAAATTCCCCCCAAAATTGATAATTGTGGTGTTCCCGGGCAAAAAATACAGCTTGTTTTCTTACAATTGGTTTTGTATTTGCACCTCAGCTTCTGAGTGAAATTACCCACAGATAATGTTGTTTTTCACTCAAAAACTAAGGTGCATAATCTCAGATCAATGACGCCTATGATCAATCAGTTCCAAAAGAAATACAAAACCTATGCTAATTGAAAGAAAACAAGTACAAGTTGACAAAAAGATTGAATCCAAGATTTGGTGATAATATTGCATTTTTAGAGACTTACAAGCTCATATTTGACTGGGAACACCAAATTAGGTTAAGTTTTTTTTTTTTAGCATAGCACAATGGTTAATTCAGTGTGCTCCTTGCCATTTGCCAATTGTTTATGAAAATTACTAGCAATTCCTGAGATAAAATGGTTTCTACTCCAAATGTTTCAGCTCAAGTTAAACCAAAGCTACCCATGTCATCAACCACTTGCACTTGTGCATTTTACTAAAATTCATAACTGATGCCCTGAGATATATGCATAAGCAGGATTGCATTGCACAAAAGCAGCTGAATTCCATCAGTCAGTGGCTGGTGATACGAACCCTGGTGCCGGTAACCATAGGTGTGAAGGCGAAATGAATGGTGCCCTTCATGAAGGAGTAATTGCCATGTGATTACATCCCCGCAAATCTAACAGCTGTGAAAAAAGCCCCCCCTTTCATTTCCCTTTGTTGGTGGAAGAATGCAGCCGGGAGAGACCCCAGCGTGAACTGATCCTCTCATATCTGATCAAAGGAAACATGCCAGTTGGACCCCCACCCTTTAAGAAAAAAAAAAAAAGCACATCCACCAGACCTGGCAGAATGAGTCAAAACAGACCCATTTGTGATGTTTTGAAACAAAAATGACTTGATTTCCTTGTCATTCCCATCGGTTTCCCTTTGCATTTTCATTGCTGCTTATTTACCGCACTAAGTGACCATATGTTGACACAGCCTGGCAACGTAAATGCAAACCTTTTGTTTACCGTGTAAACACGCAATGTATCCCAGAATGCAGTAGTGCTGTGGGATAAGTGTGGGTGTAGAAAGGTATGACACTCAGCATTGTCTGAAAATGCCCTTGGTGCTGCATCATATCTGACGCCCGCACCACGAAACAAACAGAGAGGCTTGCAGCTGGATCCTTCTGTGTTTCTGCATGGCTGCGAATCAATGCTGAACTCACCTACCCCGGCGTATCTCGCATGTGGCGAGAGCTCTCAGGCTAATGTCGCTGGCATGTCTCTCCCTGAAACTGTATAGCGGATGAATTGTTTGCCAGTCATGCCAAAACTTTCACAAATAGAGAACCGCAAATTGGTCATTTAAACTGGGAGTTACATAAAAAATTACAATAGATGAGTGATAGATTCATCAGAAAAACCAAATCTGTTTTTTTTCTCCATAGTTGATGAGAGTATAAAATTGTTAATGTTGCTTGGGAAATTTCATCTGCATAAAGTAACATTTATCAAACCGTGTTTTAGAATTTGTTCTTTTTCAAAGATTTTAAAATTATGACTCACGTAACAGTGTAGGAAGTGGAACATTACTTATATTGAAAAGAGTGCTCTGTTTAACATAGCATTAGATGAAGTTGTATGTATCATAGCGTATACACATACAGTACATATTAGGCTATAGCATATCCTTACATATATTTATTACAGTGAACGCAATAAAAAATTCAAAAAGTAGATTACATACAGCTGTTATCCAGTGCCAAACACATTAAAACAGTCATCTTCAAGCGGTCATGCATCTTTTCTTCACAAAACAATGCTTTATAATACAAGACAACAATATACTGTAGCGCCTATCTATAGCAAACAAACAAACTGACACAAAATATTAAATAGTAGGATATTACTTTATCATTATTATTATTATTAGGTCTACCATATTCAAATAAAAAACTGTAGGCTACAATCCTTGTGTGTGGTCCCCCAGCTTGGCGAGCAGTGCAAACTACAAGTACCACAAGTCATTGCGTGGGAATTTTTCCCCCCCAGCCGCATAAAAACTACATTTTCCAGAACGCCTCAGTGTCATCGCAAGCGGTTGCTGTCAAACACACAGGGTAAGCGCATTGTTTATATCATTTACTACTGGTATAATCTAAACCTTTCATAACATTGTAACATCCCAGATTTACTCAAGCAACAGCAAACATTATAAACTGCTCTTTCTTTTAATTACGTAAACCGTTGTAGGATTCTATTACAAAACAATAGGGGAAAGGTGACATGAGAGCATCGAGAGTATTGAACTTATTCTTCGTATGTGTAGGCTATTGGTAAAAGAAGTAACACAATGTTGACAGTAGCCTAAATTATAAACAATCTTAACTTGGAATTTTGGAGAAGTTTCACAATCACATACAGTAGTATGCACAGATGTAACAGAAATTAATGCACTGCCAAATCGAATATTTGTAGAATGACTTGTATGGTCATCTTTGAAAAAAAATTATTTGTAGGCCTATAAAAAAATATTGTGTGTCTGTTCATTTGTTTACATTTTTATTGATTGATTTGTTTGTTTGTTTGTTTATGTGACGAACTTTTCACTCAAATAGTGTTAGGCTAATATATTCTTTGAGGTGATTATTATTTTTTTATAGCTCTGATTTGTGTGATCAAGTAAGCATGTGATATTTGTCTAAACTCATATTCTGATTTATATATTAAAGTATAAGAATCACTGAGAATCATGCATAGTGTCAGCATTATCTGTTAAAAGTTTATCTTGCATTATTGCGAAATTGTATGTGATTGGCCCTTTTGCACACAGCTAGATGTCCTTACATGCTCTCAGACTAACAGTTATTGATAATATAATGTCAGGCATGCTCACAGACAGCTTCACTAACATGATTGCTGAAGCCAAGAACTTCCAACTTAACTGTTAACAAAATGTAGTTTATGTTCCTCATATAAAACAGGGCTGTAAAAAAAAATGTTTTATTTTAAATAGCTCTTATAGTTTTAAAGTTTTTTATAACTCTTTATTTCTTTTTACAGTTGTTCTTGATGGTTGCAGGTTGTGAGCTGGTTAACCATTTACATTTTGTATTCAACTTAATAACTGAAAATGTGGGTGAGGTGAAAGGGTCAAGCGTCACGGGGTAGTGTTTCCATCTTCATGAAGGATTTCATTCTGTTTAACTAGATATTTATGAAGAAAACTTGCTTGCAAATTAAGAAATCACTGTCACAGTTCTAGGGTGTTGTTGGTTGCAAAGATTTTTTTTTTATGACAAAACTTAATTTGTTTATTTGTTGCTTGCTGTACACTAATTTTTTGCACCAAAAGTTAATTTTAACAGTAGGAAAAGTAACTCGTCACACTGAAGTTTTCATACTGTATCTGTTTTTTTCCCCCGTTTTTTTAATGCTTCGCTTGCCAGCAGAAGAGACTAGCCAGGTTTAAACGGTTCCACTGTTGCGTTATTACAATGAACTTGTATATTGTTTTATGATGCTCCATGCAGTTAGCAACATAATCCACATAAATCCCATTTTAAGTGTTTCTTTTTATGTTAGTGAGTTTGTTGTGTGTAAATCATCAAGCGCCAAAATTAATGGGTGCATGTAAAATTATAATTTTTTGGGTAATACTTTACCAAAAGGTTCCATTAGTTAACGTTAGTTAATGTATTAGCCAACATTAACTAACAATGAGTGATGCATTTGTTACAGAATTGATTAAACTGTTTTAACATTAGTCCTAATAAGATATAACAATATTAAAATGTTGAAATTAACATGATCTAAGATTAATAAATGCTTTAGATGTTTTTTTATTGTTAGTTCATGTTAACTAATGTAATTAACTAATATTAACAAATGGAACCTTATTGTAAATTGTTACCTTATTTTTATATAAGACTAAGTTAATCAATAGCTTTTATTGATGTTATATTTTATTTTATTTGTCTTGCTTTATTAAGATTTGATAAGATCTGATGTTTATCTGACAGATTTTAAGCTGTTATATTGTGATTTTACAGTGTGCAGATAACAAATACTTTGAACTCTTAAGTGCATTTAAATTGTCAGCGTCTCCTCTCTGTGTGCAGAAAGCCAGCGGTGAGAGTCACAGGTCTCATCATGCAGCAGTTAGTCGACATTCTGAAATGGTTTGGAGTTGAGGCGAGTGGATGGTCTGTATCTGTGTGCCTTTTTCTGCTGTTCCTCAGCCTCCTTTACTGGTGAGTAAAACAATTTCATCTTGAGGTTTCCAAACGCAAAACACATACACTGTTATTTACAGATTGCAATGGCAGATTTTTCATGACCGATATTTCTAATGGCATTCTGGGAAGTTAGTACCACTGTGAGATCCAAACAGCTCAGGCTTGTTTTCCTCAGGAGAAGGACGGCGCGATCTGATCAAATTCCAATCACACGTGTCTCCGCACTTATCTTTTAAATGTCTTCCCATTCAGATTCCGGTCCCTTTTTACAGTCACGTGAAGGCAAGGCTGAAGGTAATTCATAGATTCCTTGGCCACAAGGCTTAGGAATATAACTGTAGCAATAGTATAGACAGGAGTAAAATCCTTAAGAGCTGATATAAATCTTGCAAGGTCAAGCTATAAAACATATCTAGATGTAAAATATGTACTCAAAAATAGAAATATAAGTGAACTGAATTAAATAAATAGTTCACCCAAAAATGAAAAATTGCTTAACATTTACTCACCCTCAGAGAAATGTAGCATTAAATCACTTGCTCACCAATGGAGCGAATGGTTGGCGTCAGAATGAGAGTCTAGACAGTAGATAAAAACATCATAATAATACAAAACACGACTCCAGTCCATCAATTAACATCTTGTGAAACAAAAAGCTGTTTATAATCAACAAATCCATCAAGACCTTTTTAAAGGCACAATATGTAAGATACTTTTATTAAAATATCCAAAAACCACTAGAACAGTGTTGTATATTTTACAGACCCATTTGTGATGTTTTGAAACAAAAATGACTTGATTTCCTTGTCATTCCCATCGGTTTCCCTTTGCATTTTCATTGCTGCTTATTTACCGCACTAAGTGACCATATGTTGACACAGCCTGGCAACGTAAATGCAAACCTTTTGTTTACCGTGTAAACACGCAATGTATCCCAGAATGCAGTAGTGCTGTGGGATAAGTGTGGGTGTAGAAAGGTATGACACTCAGCATTGTCTGAAAATGCCCTTGGTGCTGCATCATATCTGACGCCCGCACCACGAAACAAACAGAGAGGCTTGCAGCTGGATCCTTCTGTGTTTCTGCATGGCTGCGAATCAATGCTGAACTCACCTACCCCGGCGTATCGCGCATGTGACGAGAGCTCGCGGACTAACGTCGCTGGCATGGCTCTCCATGAAACCTTATAGCGGACTAATTGTTGCCAGTCATGCCAAAACTTTCACAAATAGAGAACCGCAAATTGGTCATTTAAACTGGGAGTTACATAACAAATTATTACGTAAGACAACATGAGCACAGCAAACAGGCTAATTATGAATGAATAAAATCCCATTATGCAGGTCATGTGCTGTGATGCCCGAGAGGGGATGTACAGAGCAGAACTTGAAGAGATAGTTAGTGCAATGTGATGATCCCTTAGCGAGAAAATAATAAATATTAAAAATAAAAATAGCTATATATTATGTATAAAAATCCATTTGGACTATGTGAGAAAACTATTAAGCATGACATTATAAAGACATCTTGTTTCTAAAGTTGTTTCAAAATAAATATGCTTTTATATAGGCGTTACTCTAAAACCACATTAATTACTAAAACCCAAAAATAAGTAATTAAGTAATAATAAGTATTAGGCTAAATCTAATGTTGTGTATCTTTTTTCTACCATTATTAAAGTACAGGTGGATTTATAAACATGATATATATATATATATATACAATTTTTTATTATTATTATTATTATTATATAAACAATTTATTTCTTTGTGCTTATACTTTAAACTTAAGTATACAATTATAAAATATATGTTCCAGAACAGTATCATAAAGCCCTCGGGATCATACTAATAGTAAAATTGGTGAGAGAGAAAAAAAAACTCCATCAAAACACTTTAGAATGAATATTTTCCCCCCCACAATGCTTTATGGAGATTTAGTTATTTTTATTTCTACTGTTAAAAACTAGGGCCTTCAAAAGAATAATAGGATTTAGTAAAATAAGATGAAAGTGTAAATTACTATTACTAAATTACTGAAACTAAAACTGAAACTGATAGAAATGTCAAAACACCTTTAAAATTACTTGAACTTCAAGTAAAATGAAAACTGAAAATATAAAAAAGTCAAAATATTATTCAAAATATTAATAAATAATACTACTAATGAAAAAATGGAAAATATAATAGTATGTAAATAATACTAAGGCAACACTGTTATAATGAAGAATGCTTATTAATATTATGGTTTAATATTCAGTAATTCATAAAAAATTACAATATTAAATAAATTAACACTTTTACAGCCCCCAATTTTTTTTTCTTAAATTCTCTGCTCCAACTGTGGCAAACATGCATATGTTTGCACAGACAACAAAGCCAACATACTGATAAGCATCTAAAATGTAAACGCTTTTACAAATAAACAACTTCAGAGACATACAGAGGTTTACGAATCCTCTGAGGTTTGCAATATTGAATTAATAAGGATTCAAAGTTTGTTTTTATTGTATTTATAATAAAAGAGATGAATGAAATATTTAAAGCCATCACATTTAACACTGTTTACTTAATTTGACAATTTCATTCTGTGAGACTTCTAGAGGTCAGCGTCACTGTGACAAGCACCCAAATAAATCAGTTAATGAGAAAAACATGTTATACCAAAACATCCACTGTGTTTATATTTCATACTTGTTGAGCTTTGAAGATAATTACAGCCATACACAGAGTGCAAATAACTTTATTTTTATTACTCCTATCTGGATTTCATTTATAAATACGTTGCCATTAACAACGTCTTTCTCAGACATTTATTGATAATGAGACACATTATGAGATTGTGTTGGAATATTGAACTTGTTCACTAGCAGTTGTGCCATCCAACAAACGCCAGAGAGTTTATAAAGATTATGATTAGATGCATTAGATGCAGTCAATGCATTGATATTGCACATTTCCGTTTCAATCCACAGATGCAAAAATTGGTGCATTTCACAGGCAAAATAAACACCAATAAAAATGAATGAGCTCACCGTGGTCAGTAACAAAGCCCCGTTTTCCCCTGCACTTTTGGTTTCTGTCAGTAGGACAGACCCCATTAACTAACCAACCCCCATATCCCTCAATTACACTCCCTTGGGCACCAGAGCACACCTGTGAGCCATTTCCCCACTGAGGTTCTGAGAGCTCAAATGTCCCTCAGGCTTCAAAGGAGCACAAGATGTGGACAGCATAATCACATTCAGTAAGCCTGCGGTTCATTTACTGACCCACGGTGAGGCGAAAAGTCCTGTAAGGACTTCTGTGAGGATAATGCGCTGGATAAGACTATTTCCAGAGTGACCAGTGACCTGGACAGCCATTGTGGTTTTCAAGCGTGGATGGCTATGAGAACCAGGCAAACACACACCGGGGTCACAATGCTTCAATGTCCTCGCAAGGAAGCACTTCCTCTTGATTGAGGGGGGCAACAATGTAAACTCACTCAGGGGCGATGACCTCCAAACTTATAGATTTTCCTGCAATTCTCAACTGGCAATGACCCTGGACCTTAGCCATGGGTTAAGATCAGTTAGGGACAATCAATCAACTCCAACACCAAAACAGAAGGACATGTTGGAACAGTTGCTTTATGAAATTTATGACGCAGATGCTCATCAAGTGGAGATGGTGGCGTGAACTCAAACTCAGGGGAACCAAGAAGGTTTCCAGAGGTCTGAAAAGCAAAAACTGTTGGCAGAGATCATCTACAGGTCAGAGAACAACTAATCATATGGTTTACTTTAGACCATTATACTGGTTCCTAAAAGATTGGTTTCCTGGAATATAATGGAGAAGTCATATGGACCAATTTGAGGGTGTTTTTTCTTTCTTTTTGATTTCTCTCAAAAGCTTGAAGATAAGATTTTTTTAGATGTTTCTGAAAAAGGCCTCTTATGCTCACCTAGGCTGCATTTATTTGATCAAAAATGCATCCAAGAAAAAAAGTAATATTGTGAAAAATTATTACATTTTGAAATGTAGTTTATTCCTGTGATGGCAAAGCTGAATTTCCAGCAGATATTACTCCAGTCTTCAGTGTCACAGTTGACATGATCCTTCAGAAAACATTCATATATGCTAATCTGCTGATCAAGAAGCATTTCTTATTATTAATATCAATGTTCAAAACAGTTGTGCTTCTTAATACTTTTGTGGAAAGCATGGTACATATTTTTCCGGATTCTCTAATGAATAGAAAGTTAAAAATACATTTTATTTGAAATACTGTCTATGCCTTTGCTGGTTTTATTCATTGAATGCATCCTTGCTAAATAAAAATATTAATTTACTGACATCAAACTTTTGAACAGTATGGTATATTTATGTTTTATGGGAAAAAAACACATGACCCCTAAATATAAAGACAAAAAACAATAATCGGAAAGACCCAGGCCTGACTCAAGGCATCTTTCCATCTCCAGCATTCCAAAGCTAAACATTTGCTTCCTTCTGCTGTAGAGACAGGTTGTCCTGGTCCTCACATCAGGCATTTATCACCATGTCAGTGTGGGTTACGAGGCCAGGAGCCAAGACTCCTCTGGCCCCAGATTACTCTTCCGTATGGGATTGAGCCAGAGCGTTGGGCCTGCACCACAGCGCTCCACAAAGACAAATCAGAACAGGGGAAAAGGCAACAACAAAGAGCTCTCACTATGGTTTGGCATTACAAACGTCTCCACAGACAGTCTGTACCCTAAACTGGAGCAGTAACAGATATTTATTCACAAACTGAAAGGTCTTTTACTCCATGCTTTTGAAAAGAGCTCAACACAGCGCGCATGTGCCTTAGCGACACAATACACGCATCTGACAGCCATGAGATGAGCAGAGAAGTCCGTAAATAAATGCAAAACAAGCATGACCAGACATTTAATCTAGTTTTAATGTGTGTTCACATACACACACAGATCGGCGTTATATTGGACTGGCTGCTTAAACCACAAAAAGCAACAAATTATTAGGCATTCGTAA